GCGCTATTTGGATAAACAGGACTCGTTCTCCCCACCTTTTTCTCTGGTGAAGACGCCCAGAACGGAAATAAGTGGTTCTTTTGTTAGATATTTTATAAAGGTCAACAGACAACAACGGGGGACTTAAGATGACCATTTCTCACTTGACAGCTGTGGACATACAGACGCCCAAACAACAGATCCGCCAGAACGATGTTTCTTAGTCCTGCATGCAGTAAGCTCTTCTCCCACGTGATTGGGTTTAAAGATAAACACAGACGAAGAAAATTGACGTGGGGACTAGATAAAACTTACGACTGTGCAAGTCACCACAAGATGCGTATTCAGTCACAATAAACTCGAGTGAGCCGTTCTCAATGTCTGGACCCGCGGCATACGCAGTCAGGATATTCGGGTGATTCAGACGCAACAACATATCTAGCTCTTTGTAACGTTTTGCTGTGTCAGTCATCTCGTAAAAACATTTTACTGCCACGTCCTCGCCTTCAAAAACGGTCTTCTGGACGGTGGTAGATAGGATTGAAGATGCTGTTATTTTGCCAAAGTTCTTTATCATGCCGCGTGGTAACGAATAACAAACAAAGACAGGGTGGGTAGAACCTATGCAAGAGAAGAATAAACGGAATAGCAGTTTAGACCCTTAAAAATGGAAATGGGTTACCTACAGCAAATGCGGATTCAATCTAATAGAGCGGGCAACCCAAAAACCAAGAAATAAACGAGCAAACACAATGTTGATCAGTTAAAACAAACAAATGGCAAGGCTAAGTAAGCTACAAAAGCAACGTCATATGATAATCATAATGAAAATAAAATAAGAAATTACGTTTCATTTCCGAAATTTCCAACTAAATATCATCAATACCTACCGTTTGCCTCACAGTTCGCCAGATAACTAGGTCAAATGACGGGTGAATCATTACTGCCATATCTATTCGGCTGACGTTGCCGCACGGTTTATAGGTTGCTAAAAGTCATGACAGATCCAAGGTTTGGGCAAGTTGTCTAAAATCTCTGGAATGGATAACCGTATTCTAACTAACTTTCTTGGCATTCTCTTACCCTGTGCATGCGTTCTACGTTGCTTTCTCTATGGCGTTTTAGCATTAGACGCCTAAAGCGTGCAATCAACTTCAGTGCTCTTTTTTAAACTACAGCGTACACGTTAGAGAGTGGTAACAAAAACCAAATTTTCCAAGATCGAGTACTTTTCCTAAGAAAGTCCTGTAAGCCATACTCCTTGAAATTTCTTGCAGTTTCGACCTTTTCGGATGTGGTCCACTTTAAGGAACATTACCATGATTCTGTCAATCTTTCCGTGAACCGCATCAAGAATATATGAGCACTTTTTGGCTTCTTATTGTAGTCGGTTGCGCTTAGATGACCGAATTTCCGAATGGCCTCATCCGGGGCGCTCTCTGACTGGAAGTATCGCCCTAGCATAATCTCGCAATACTTAAACTCAAGAAGTGTCGTAGAATACATAGAATCTCACTTGAATATATTCGACCAAAAGTCTGGTAGGCGACAAATTGACCTCTCACTGTTAGTGACTAATTGCAATGATTTGCGGAATTTTTCTGCCAGTTACCAGGCTATTAGTTGGACGTGTTCTTGCTTGCTCCTATGGATTCTATAAATCCTCTTTAAAGTTGGTACGATCGCAGTTCGTAGCCAGACATTATACGTCGATAATGTCGACGTCCTTACTTGTTATCAGTAGGTGTGTTTATCTTGCCTAGGGAACTTGTTACCAGTCGGTGTGCTTATACTGATTTAGGCAGGTCGCCCGCTTCGGTCAGGCTATTGGGTTTAGTGATGTTTACGGTTAGGCGTAGGATTAAGTTTTAGGACTGGGGTTTAGGTTTATGATTAGGGCTTGGCTTTCGAGTTGGGGTTCGGCTTAAGGATTAGGGTTTTTATGGCAAGGGTTAGAAGATTTGGCTTACGTTTTACGGTTAAGGTTAGGACTAGGGTTCAGGTTTAGGATTACGATTTTCGGGTTAGGGTTAGGACTTAAGGGTTAGGTTTTCGGATTGGGGTTAGGGTTTAAGTTTAGATTTCAGTATTACGGTTGCTGTTAGGTTTAAGGGTTAGGGCTTAGTTTTAGGATTAATGTTAGGGTTACTGTCAGATTTAGGGTTGCGGTTATGGTAAGAGTTAAGGTTGGGGTTTCGGTTAGGGTTAGGGTTGTGGTTAGGGTTAGAGTTATGGCTAGGTCAAGGCTAATTTTCCGTCTTAAGGTTAGGGTTTATGGTTAGGTATAGGGCTTTCGGGTTAGGTTTTAGGTTTAAGGTTACGGTTTAGAGTTAAGGATAGGGTTTGGATTAGTTTTCAGGGTCAAGATTAAGTTTAAGGTATAGTAGTAGGATAAGCCTTACGGGTTAAGTATGGGCTTAGAGTTGGGGTTGTGGTTAAGATTAGGGTCAGGCTTCAGGGTTAGGGTTGGGGTCAAATTTAGGGTTAGTGTTTAGGATTAAGGTCAGCGTTGGCGTTAATTTTAGGGTTAGGGTTTTGGCTAGGGTTAGGGTAAGCCTCGGGGTTTAGGTTTACGGTTAGGGTTTGGTTTTTGCGCTTAGGGTTTGGTTTAAGGGCTAAGGTCAGAGTTGGATTTTAGGGTGAAGTTTAGGCTCATAAATTGGCTTTAGGGTTAACTTTAGGGTTAGGTTTAGGGTTAGTTTAGGGCCAGGGTTAAGGTTAGGGTTTAGTGGTAGGTTTACTTCTTTGGGGTTAGGTTTTGGGGTTAAGGTTACGGTTAAGTTTTAGGATTAAGTTTATTGTTAGGGTTTGGGATTGCGGATAAGGTAAGAACAAGGGTTAGGGTTAGGTTTTTAGACTAGTTTTAGGACTTACGGTTTAGGTTTTGCGGATGAGGTTACGCTATGTTTAAGTCCTAGTGCTAGCGTGTTACCGATCAGCTTTACGATGAATGCTTCTAATAAGGTTTTAGATTAACGATAAGAGTTTATGGATTAGGTCTTAGAATTAGTGCCTTCCTTAGGGCTTTCCCTACGGCCATTTAACTTAGCGCGTTCTGCTTTCAGTTTTCTGTTTACCGTTATCCCTTCCTTGAAGTTTTTTTTAATTCGACTTTTTTTTCGGCAACGCCTTCCCTTTCCTGCACTCGCACTTCCCCGTGAGGTATGAATGAGGAGTCAGCATCTTTGCCTTCCTGGTTTGCGTCCCTTCCTTATTTGTCT